CCCCAACACACACAACAAACAGCTCTGGACCCAAACGAGAACGAGAAGAATGAGGCAGCAGCCTTGACCCCTGCACTGAGAGGAAGGTGAGCAGAGAGAAAGAAAGCAAGCACAGAAAAGCCATGCGAGCACCAAACCTGTAGGTTACTGCAGCTCTCTTGTGCTTCACTGAGGACAGCTATCCTGCTGACAGCCATGCAGCATAAAGGCATCATGCTGATTGTGTTCTTGGAATATTTTGTATCTGGCCATGGGGAAGCAGGTAAGTGAAATAAATCAATATTGCCATTCTGAAACAATTTATCCTAAGTTGAGCAAGGGGAAAGGGAACAGAAATCAGAGCTGTTGGTTAAAAGAAGTTACGTTAACATCTTTAGTTCAGATCAGATTTTTACAAGGAATCTGGGTTAATCAATATATATAAATGCTTCTTATGCCCTGCAATACACAGCTTTATAGCTCAGTCTCTTCCCAAAGGCTTAAAATAGGATGTACAGTTTAATACATCCTTAAAAATGAGTGTTATTTTTGTGAATGAAAGAAGAGTAACAGAAAAAGAGAGAGGGAGATGGATTACAATGTGCTGGGTATTTGTTTTGAGGATGAAACACTGCCTTCCTAGTCAGGACAAGGGTGAAACAACAACATCCTTGGACAGCAGCACTGGAGGAATCTGGATTACTCTCTGTTAACTCTGTTGTGCATCATCTAAAGTCAGAGACACTGTTTAGGAATTACTATTTATCCAAGCCAGCCCATTCATTCAGTGTATCCCCTGATTTCACAGTTAGCATGCAGTGGACAAGATTAAATTAGCATCAGAGAAAAAATGGATTAGGACAGAGTCCACTCCCCACACTGCCTGTGCTGTTTAAGAGATGGATTTAAGGTATTTCCACACATTTACAATCCTGTCATATTATCCCGTGACTCAATGGGGAAAAAGCCCTGTCTATGACAACATGACAGGGAACGAGTGGAGGGAGGACATGTACCTTAGTCCCCTCAGTGTCTCATCTTGGGCATTCCCTGTTGTCCCAGGCTGGGACTCTCCCTGTAGGATACATCTGTTGACACAGCACAGGAAGGTTAGGGAGCTGGCTGGTGAAGTTGCTGATGCTGTTGCAGAAGGCAGCCTCTTACAAACCAGCCTAAATCTGCTCTGCAGCCAATTCAAAACTGAAAATGAATCTGCAAGAAGATGCAATCTGCAGCCGACTGCTTGGAAAGTGAATTTGAGGGGAGTTCTGCACGGAGCTAAACACACTGAGAGTAACAGTGTAGGACGTAGGGAATAACAACAAAACAGTTGGAAGGTAATGATGTAAGGATTCAGTGTCACTTCAAATGATATATTTGTATATGCATATGTATATACATATATATACATATACATTTATATGTATATGTACATGTACATGTATATATATACATATATGCGCATATGTAGATGTACATGTACATGTGTATGTATATTACAGGCAGGGTCAGTACTGCTCTGACCAAGGTTAGTCTGGACAGTGCCCATCTATGTAAAACGATCTGGAAGTCTCAGCCTTTTCCTGAGCAGACACATGCAGTGAGGTTTGGTTTGTACCTACATTATTAACCTATACAATAAACTCATTTTTCGGCCCTATAGTTGATCCCTTCTGATCAAAAGCAAAACAAATTGATGGGGCAGCTGTGCGGGGAATGGATGAAGTATAATATTTGTGGGGAGTACAATATTTGCCTTCTGCCATCTCTGTGCAGAGAAGACAGTCTGGATTGCCAAGATTGGCTGCAGGGATCTTTTAACATAATGCCAAAGGAAAATAGAACACCTTTGTGGTTAGGCTGGAGGAGTCACTTACTTAGGTTTTATATTGTGAGATGTGACACTTGGGTGATCCTTTCTCCAGTCTTATGCAGGTGAGAGCATTGTTCCCCTCAAATAAACTCTGCAGTGGTCTGAAAACTCTTGCATATTGGGACAGTTACTAAGACAGGTTTCCTTTGCTCTGGGGTTATTCAGCTCCTCTGTAAATGAAGCTGTAGGTGTTGGAGACCATTGTTGCTCCAGAAGGGATGTGGGCAGGCAGACTGGAACTGGCTGCAGTGGAAGAGAGCCCGGACCTGGGATCTTACTCTTCTGTCCATACCCCAGGTCACGGAGGCAGCTTGGGTTTGTAGCATATTCAGAACTTCACCTCCGGTGTATTTATGGAGGCTGGCTCATTAGCTCCAGTTATTGGACTATTTAAGTGCAGAAATACATCAGGCTACTCACAAATGGATGAAAACTTGCCAAACCTATTTAAACCAAATAAACAAACCAAAGGGTCTACAGCACTTCTGTTGTAACGGCATTAAGGTGTAAAGTTCTAGGTCTGAGTAATAAAAACTTGAGCCACTCCTGTCCCCAGGGAGCTCAGCTTCAAAAGAACACCTAAAAGTTTTTGGTTATTAAGAAAAAAGTTAAACACATATAGAATAAGAGAAATCCAGGTTGGACATACATGCTCAAAGTGCTCCATCAAAACCACAGCAGAAGATGCCCAAAGGTTTTAGTGTTCACATGTTGTTCAGAACTGCGAAATTCACTCTCCTGTCCCATGTAGGAGACTTGAACACACACAATCATAAATTTGAAATGGAAAAGGAACAAAACTTCCAATTCAAATCAATTCAAAGTATTAGGCAGCTTTCCAGTCACCTCAGCAGGCTGTGACTGAGTGGTCATATGACCTTTCTTATGTTGGGTATCCAATGGAGGGCAAATAAACCCCCAAAAACCCCTGAACCTGGTTTTAGTTAATATCTACGATGTTCTGCTGCACTACAAGGCTCTGCAGTAAGAGACGTCTGTTTGAGATGGTATCCCAGGAATATCAATAGTATGAGCTTCCTTGAACTGTGTGATTCCCAAACCATCAGATAATGCCGTGTTATAACATGTTATGGGCATGTGCCACTGAGCTGCCACTTTGTGGCACAGCTCTGAAGGACCAGAAAACAAACAAATAAATTAATCATACCATGCCATAGGCATCCTCTATGGAGTAAACCCATCCTCTATGGAGTAAACCCATCCTCTATGGAGTAAAAGCTCATAACTCCATACTAACATGCAGTGCCCATGCGCAATCAAACTGTTTAGTTCTTTATGAATTATTCAGTGAGTCCTCCTGGCACTTGGGGTGAGTCGCTTGTTCTGCTGCTGTTTCTCTCCTGCAGCAGTCTCCCCTCTCTGTCCAGATTCCACATTTCACGTTGGTTCCACAGAATCAGTGAGCGATGGACAGGCTGCACCATTCTTGTGGCCAAGCAATGTTCTGCCAATTGATTTCTTTAAATACAAAGCTTTTAATCGACTGCAGATTTTGTTTTCCAGCCTCTCCCCTCTCCAACTCCCTTCTGCTAATTTGCACTTTGTTCTTCTCCCATTTTCCTAATGACACAGCAGTTCAGACAGGAACTGTTTATTGATGTTGCTGCATTAGCAGGCAGAGGAAACCAACCTTCTTGTGACTCTTATGCAAGAGAACAACCATGGTTTTCTTCCTTTTCCAGGTTCAGATAAAACCAAAACTCAATACAGGACCAATAACCCATTTATGGGAAATATCAAAAGCAGCCATTCCCTTTAAAAAAAGTTTCCTTTTTACTTTCTCACATTCTTGTCTGCAAAGCTTCACTTATTTATGTCCTTGAGTTTAGAACTCCTGCATCTCATTTCCTCCAGGAAAGCTTCAGTGGTGTGATGCATCAGCAGAGATGGACTTTCTTTTAATTACATGGTATATTTATCCATAACCCAATAGCACTTGCAGCATGAACACATTCTTGATCAAAACTAAGTAACCTGACCCTTAGAGCTAATGCTTGTTCCAAGCTCAGTTGTAAGATCAGTCCCACTAAATTCTCTGGAGGCAAAGACGACACTTTTGTGCAGCACTGAGCAAGATCAGGTAATATCCAACCTCCCTTAAACACAGAAATTGCTGGGCTTTCCTTATTTCCAATAACTTTTATCAAACACCTTGGGCATGAACGTGAACCTAAATGCCACTTGCAAAGACATTCTTGAGGCTCACTGTGGTTTTGCTGACCTGCAAATCTAAGTCCTTTCTCAGGACAAAAAGCCTCAGAGAAATTGCAAGGAACCTCCCAGATAAAATCTCTGAAGCTCCTGGTGTTCCCCTGTACATGTGCCAGGCTCAGATGGAGCAAGAAGTTCACAGTCAGAAAGAAAATACATTGAAATGGTCATCAAGCAGCCAGGATGGTGTGAGGGTTAGGTGGAGGATCTCCAGTAGTGCCAGGAATCACCTGCTGAGTTGAAGTCGGGGAGCAAAACCAGAGCTGATAGAGCCAAACATCCCCATCTTCTCCCCTTTTCTCTCCAGCTGACTTCGGCAACTCTTCTCTCACGAAAATTCATCTCTGTGCTGGCACAGGGAGTGGTGGGACTGAGGAGGGGCAGCTTTCACGCCTTTGATCTGAGGAATGTAAGGAGCACATGTAATTCAGGCACTGCTGCAGCCTTCCTTTCTCCTAGGACTTCACTGGGATACTAGACAAAATACTGGGCAGTCCATTCCAACCACTGGTGGAAGACAACCTGCACCAGGAGGAAACCTGCTGTGTCTAAAGACATCACTTTCCTTGAGGAAAGACAGTGCATACCCGTGATCAATAGGATTCAGTGGACATAAAGCAACTTTGTTTTGTGTCCTAATCCTGGGAAGCAAAATGCACGAGGTGTTTTCCAAATAATGCCCATCTCTGACCTTTCTCTTCTGGTCTGTGCAGAAATGTCATGAAGGAACTAAGGAGAGAAACAACTCAGAGGCAAAACTGTGCATGTTACCCACTTTCTGAGTCAGGACCAAAACCGCAGACTAGATTTATTAAGAAATTCCCTCAAAACATGTTTTTCACCTTAAACATTCCCTTTGGAAAGAGGGACATCAGTTTCACCCAACTACATTTACAATTTGAGTATTTCCATAGGGCTGAATCCGAGTCTTTTCTTTGACATAACTTGATTCTAAACTAATTTGCTTGGGGAAAGGCTGAATAAAAACCAAGGAGGGGTTTTAACTGTTGACCTAGACTGTTGAACTAATAGCTGACCTCTGAACTGCTCCTGGATTACCCAGGGTTTACGGTCATCCTAGGTTTCATTGGAAGGGTCGTTTCCTGTAGGACTTACATCCAGCCATCTGACTTGTGACCTCTTGGATTAGATTTATGACCTTGCAAGGTCACTCTTTAACTCCTTCTAGACTGTTAAGTTGCAAAGAGGACGTTATATGTCATTAGAAAGCAGTTTTCTCCAGCATGGTAAGGTTTTGGAATGACCTTTAATGCCAGCGTCACAAGACACTACTGATTTCCAAACAATATTAAAACTTTGTAGTTATTCCTACCCTTATTAATTTAGAAGCAGTTATACACATTGAAGATATTCCAAATTTGCCAGTATTTGCAAATTTGACAAAACAACAGAAGTCACCTTACTTCCATGTCAAGGTATTAAACAAGAGACTTGATTTTAAACTCTTCTAAGTATTAACAACTCCCACTGATCTCAACAGGAGCAGTAGAAACTCAACATCCCTCAAAATTACGCCAGTAATGTACAATTACAGAAATACATGCTCTCTTTATGTGTCTGTATGCAATTAGTGTTTGTAACTTGTTGGGCAGGAATAGTCTCTTTCCTTAATGTATCTACAGTGTGTAGCACAGTTTGACTTTGCTTTATGGTAACAATGAAATTAAATGCACTGAATAGATTCAGTCCTCAGATAAAGAGCTTTACTGGAGTGAAAGTAAGAAAACACAAGATTTCGGTGGTTAAATGTGAAATGCAATAGATGGACACAACCACATTTTCATCAGCTATATCAAAGTGAAGCACCATTAGCATGAATTTTCTGAAGACCTCAGATTCTGAGTTAGGCACCAAAACCAAGGACTAGATTTATTAAGAAATTCCCTCAAAGCGCTGCGTGAAAAGATGAATTAGCTCCCATTAGAAGGAGGCCTCTTGGACGCCAGTCCCCAGATGAGGACTCCAATCATCTGCATGGTCACCTGTGTTACAGCCTGACAACTGTCTGAGAAACTCTCCCTGTTGTGTTCTTTGCCTGTGTTTTAGACCCCACCAGGCTCCGAGCCTTCCGCTGCAATGGCCGCTCCTGCAACCCTCCGGTGGGAAACCTGGCAACAGGGAGGACACCAGTCACCCTCACCACGTGTGGCCAGAACAGCACAGAGCTCTACTGCTTCTACCCAGACCAGAATCTCCTCCATCGGGTCTCCCACGGCTGTGGGCAGCCTCGCTGCACCAAGTGCAACGCCAACCAGCCTGATAACTCCCATCTCCCGGCTGACATGACGGACGATTTCTTCGCAAACCCCATCTCCTGGTGGCAGTCTGCCCAAGGGGTACACAGGGAAGAAATCAGACTGGACTTTGAAACAGAATTCTACCTGACCCATGTCATCGCTGTGTTCAAGTCACCTCGCCCAGCTGCGATGGTGCTGGAAAGATCCCAGGACTATGGGCAGACTTGGAGGCCCTACAAGTATTTCTCTGTCAACTGTACAGCGACTTTTGGGCTCCAGGATGATCTCATTGAGGAGGGCTCCATGTGCACATCCAGGTATTCAGATGCAATGCCCTGCACCAGAGGAGAGGTAAGTAATAACTGAGGTTTGAACTGAGTTTGATGTCAAACAGCTGAGGACTGGCTGAAAATCAGAGAGTATGTACTCAAAGAGATGCCATACACATAAATGAAGAAAGGTCACCCATCCCCAAAAGCTTTGTGTTAGAAAATGAAGGGGAAGAAGAGTGATTATATATCAATGAAAATGAATAGAAATGCTTTAAGAAATGTCTTTTATGAGAATTGCACAGGGTAGGATTAACATTGCCTAATTTTACACTGCAGGTGCCAATAACTGAGCTAGAATTCCAACAAAATAGATTTAGGGAAATGCACATTTATAGAGTCTGATCTATCCAAACTGTTTTCCTCCTTTAGGATGACATGAACTGCATGGTCTTTCTTTTTCTTCTCCATATAAAAAGTCCTAGATGATTGGATGACTTTTAAATACACCCTTCCCTAAGCTGAATGTAGAATTTCTTGCTGGGGGTGACCACTCTGATTGTATCAAGCCACAGGCTCCAGAAATGAAACCACTTAGAAACAAAGCAGAAGTAAGCAGCCAGGTTTCACTATTCACATGGAAAAAGGCCCTCCCGTGGTACCAGTGTTCTGATGTGCTATTAAACATATGCAAAAGGCTTTCTTTTCAAATCAATGTACAATTGCTCTGATGACTCGTCTGACAAGAACATTAATGATTGCTTAGTATTCACATACTTAGCTTAGTTATAACGGTTTTCATTTCCCAATCTTGAAACAGTTCAGACAGGAAAGAGGGTAAATATCATCAGTATTGTTTTATACAGCAGATGTAAAGGCACAAAGGGAGATTATAAGACATTCCTATGGCCACAACAGAAGCTGGAGTCCTTTTACTTCCTTCTCTCTTTCTCAGAGAGGTCACAATCCTCTTGGTTTCCCTGTCCGGAAGCGATCCTGCGGGTTTGGCAGTAATACGTTGCTGCACATTAAGCTCAGGTGTGAGGTGAATGGTCCGAATAGGCTTCAAAACCCACAGCGAATTCAGCAGTGCACTTCCAAATGCACTTGAGAAAAAAGAAACTAGTGAACTATACCTGAGACAGGGAAACAACAGCAAGGACTGAGTCCCTCTTCGTGCAACAAGCTAGGAAACATCTCTACATACTAGAAATCTGGAGCAGATCATCTGACTACTGAACTGCCTTGTTCCTGGAGTAGTAATTCTGCTGGGCACTTACCATGATAACATGAAGACATTTAAGTCAAGCACATCCAAATGTATTCTGCAGAGATTACAGTTTGCCACATCAGCACACAGCCTCGGCAACTAATACCTTTTCCACTCTTCTGTGCCTTCCTATCAAAAATCTGGGAGTACTTTGCAAGATCCATTTAATGATCTTCAGCACCATCCCAGGGTCCTGTTGCCTTTCCACAGGTGGGGAAGAGGAGTGCAGAAGGCTGAAGTGTTTTGTGGTAAACCAGGATAATTCTGGTTGGTTGACTAAGGAAAAGAATACAGGGTCTGAGGTGAATGCCTTGGCCTTACATGCAGAACAACTCTCCCTTCTCTAGTACAGTATCCCCCATCGCCCTGCACTATGTTGGCTTTTGTGCTTACTTTACCTTGAGGAATATCATCCAGACCATGTGTTGCTGCTACAACAAATCTGAGAAGTGGATGGCAAAAAATCAAATAATAAAACATTCATTCAACACAAGCCTTTGTGATAACAAGTGTCAAAATGATTCTGTCAACTTGGGCAGCAGCTACACTGAAATGAATATGTGTATGCTTAAATCAATCAGCGCTGTGGTAGTAGATGTTAGAAAACCCCAGTAATAGTGAGCACAGTCATATATTTACAGGCCACCCTTGCAGATCCCCAATACTTTCACCAACTGTTATACGAATTCAATAAATACAGAGGTCATTGCCTCCAGAGAGCTGAGGATTTCAAGCAGCACGCAGGAATCTGTATGGCAACTTAACAGAGAACAAGGCAAATACTGCTTTCACAGCACATTAACCCAAAAGGATTCTGAAGTTCTGGAACAGACTTTACAGAGGCCTCTTAATGAATCCATGACATGCCACTATGGCAAGGGTGCAAAGGCATGGGGCTTTTCAGGTCAGCAATGTGACACAGCAGATTCTTTTGTGAATGAAAATAAAGGAAGGCAGAGTGTAGTTATTTAAAGTGGTACCTGATCAGATTGCCTGACACTGCTACTGTCACTGAAAGTCTCACAGGAGCTTTGCCCACACATCTTAGAACTGCCACTTTACACCCTATTTTGCAGATGTCACAAATGCCATCAGGCCATCCCCTCAAGCACCGACTCCCAGCTGACCTGGAAGGAAGCTGATAGAATCCCCATCATGACTTTCTGTGTGTTCTCTGCTTCTTTTCCATCTCCACTCCAACCTACCCAATTACTGATCCTGGCAGAGCCATGGATTGCTGAGGAGGTCACGTCACAAGCTGACAGCATTTCTGAAATGATCAAACCCATTCCAAATTGAATGCTCATTAATGCTCTGAGATAAATGCCAGTTTTCTCTGCTGAGGGGGCTGAGGCAATTTCCACCCAATGCCACTCAGGTTTTTCTTGGGCATTGTCCTATTCGTGTAAGAGAACTGACACAAATTCCTTTTTAACAGGGCACAAAAGGAATCAAAAAAGAGACAGTTACTAAGAACACTTGGGTTTAAAATCCATGTGGGACACATCATGAAACAAGATTTCAGGTCAACTGGCTTCCAGAACTGAGGATGTAGGTGTGAAAGGAGAAGGTGGTAAAGCTGCAGTAACTTACATGCATCTATAAACTGAGATGCATCTCCCTGAGGCAGTATGTGGTGGTGGTCCTCCGAGACCATGGGAGCATGGTGGAACACTTGGCAGAAAAGGAACTTTTAGGAGACTAGAATGGAAGAAGAAGGCATCTGGGTGAGTGATGTGAAAATGTCACAACAGAACATATCACTAAGTTAAGGTATACGCCTTGTCTCTTGAAGATTACCCCTTCTCTTTCACCTCTGACAGGGTCACACATCTCCTTTCCATCCAGGTAAGGTACAGCTGAGACAGAAGTTGTGATGCATTGGGGAACAAGTCCTGTAGAAATGCAAGGAGATGACTTCCTAATGACTCTTTTGCAGTTTTCTTTTACTCCAGCATTTACTAAATCTCTTACTCCTTTTGAGACCCAGAGTACTCCTGCAGCTACATTCTATCTATCTGAGATCCTAAATTTCCCTGGAGCCTTCTCTTCTCCAGGCTGAACAAGCCCATCTCTCTCAGCCTGCCTTCATGGGAGAGGTCCTATGCTCATCATCTTCAGTAGACCAGCCTTTGACATAACATCACGAACTAAAACCAATCCCACCTTTTGAAGATCTGTTAATCTTCTGCAAGTGCATCTATAGGCATCAACTGAGAACTTTCTTACCTACTTGTCTGTTTGTTTTTCTTATCTAAAACCTCTGTGCTATATACTCAAGGAGCCTAAAATGAGCCTTCAGGTCAGCTAATGTAAATCAAGCCTCTGGCCCAAACAAAAGGGGAAATGACCACAACATTGCATCAGACAGGAGTGTGATTTACAGTTTAAACATCATATGGGGGAAACAGGGGTCGAAATATTTCAACCTGCATCCTGGCAGCACGTGCATGCAAGGATCTGAGAGATTAAGAACACGTTTTTAATAAACTGGAATATCAGGAAATGAAAACAAATGTTCTCCTCCATTGAAGAAGATGTTTGCATGGAAGGAACACATTAGCATGCAAAGTAGGGTAGAACCTGCTTATAACCACCAGACCCAAGAGGAGACC